GTTTTTTTAATGTTGGGCACGGTGGTGCACACCTGTAGTACCAGTTACTCAGGATGCTGAGGAGGGGAGGTTGCTTAAACTCTGGAGATTGAGGCTGCAGTAAGCCATGACCACACCACTACACACCAGCCTGGACATCAGACAGTGAGACCCCGTCTCAAAAAAAAAGAAAAAATGACTAGGTAAGAGGCTATAAAACTGGCAAGTGCATTATCTGAACTAGGGCAGGAAAGGAGAAAGAAGGTAAAGACAGCACTATCTTTGCAGAAGCAGAATAGGTAACACTTGATAACTAGATACAAAAGGTGAAAGATTCAAAGATCACTCCCACGTTTCTACCAGAACTATCCTGGCAGTTAAGAGTGGTATTAATTCATACAGCAAAAAGATTTGAGGTACTAAGGAACTCTCTTTCAGTAGACCCACTGGAAAATTCAGATTTGGATCTCAGGAGATTTAGACTTCGAAATTAAGAACACAGAAAAGATAAGATACTTGTTCTTTGTTAGTGCTTCAGGCCCTCTATCTTTTATTTCCCCCGTCAGTTTTCTTCTGGATCCACTGGTCTTCCACAGGCCAAGGTGACCCCCAACCAGCTCAACACTGTCCCTGCTAGACTTCATCAACTTAACTTCCACTGTGTCCACCAAATCAGTAATACCCAGGTCTTGACAGCTCCCATGATCTGCTGTTCTAATTCCAATATTCAGCTGACAAGCATCCTGGACAAAAATCACAAAATCATAACTAGATCATCTACAGAACCATACTGCCTGCTCTGAATTAGACCCCAACCTGGCAATCTTTTGACTCATTTTTATAAACTTATCACGTTCCTGAGAGCAAGTATTCAAAATCTTCTACGTTCTTTTATGTTTCCAAACATAGCTTTCGTCTCTCACTTTCAACTGAATCCCTTGCTCCTAATTAATGAGGTCAATATCTTTGATCTATTAAAGAGATACAAGGTGAAGTCAGGCTTCTAATTCTTTAGCATGTCAAATTCACTTTAATATGCAGATTCTTAAACCCTCTTCCCCTCCAGCAAAAATGCCAACTCAATACATCTGGTGGAAACCAGGAATCTGTAAACGCCCAGTAACTCACAAGCAAATGTAAGAGGTCCAATTCTGAGAAACAATGTGTTTTTCTGAGAAAGAGAGGAATGGGATTCATTCTGATATCACAGGAATTTCGTGTACCATTCAAAACTTCTTTTACAACTAGGACATATTTATTTACGTTTATAGGCTTATTATACTTATACTTGTAGCCCAACCCCCAAGGCTGTATCATCTACAATCCAATCACTTCCTCAAACAAATGTATTTGCTCCGTTCTCTCTGCCTTCCACTTAGAAGGCCCCCGCCGCTCTTTCTTCTGCAAAATTCAGGGTCCAGGATAAATGTCACCTCCATTGTGAGTCTTTCCATATAGGATCCTCCCCAACTCACATGCAGTAACTTAACACATAACTCTACCATTAAGCAATATGGAACACTCCCAACAACCTCTTTAGTACGGACCTCAGTATAATGCCTGGCAGGGCATACATTCAACCAAGTTTGCTGGATTCAAGAACTTGGCCAAGTACATAAGTGGCCAAACAGCCGTCACAGACATTCAAGATTCCCAGCAGGCGCTTGCTGGGATCGCTCCTGAAGCTCCTTACTGCCAACGCCACCCAAAGGTGACCTGGTGGCCAGCGTCGCTCGGGACACCGGCAAGGAGAAACTTCCGAAGCGGAGCATTGAGGCCGGGGCCCCAGTTAGGCCACCCTCCCACGGGAAAAGCGGGAAGAACCCGGGCCAAACCCGGCAGACGCAGAAGTACCCGGCACCGAGCCGGCGCGCCCAGGAACAGCGGGAGAGCAGCTGAAGCGCCGGCTGGCCTCGGCCGCCTCACCCCTCACCTTGCAATCGTTGCGTACGAACATCATGCCGTGGCCAGGGTAGATGGGCCCGGAACAGAAATAACACTTCTCGATACGCATGCTGAACCCGCGTGGGTGCCCACTGACGAAACACCAAGCTTCGGAGGAAGTGACGCGACCGTGTCGCCGGAAGTGACCTTCTTTCTCTTCCCAGACCCGAAAAAAGCTAGCGTCCTTACTTCTCGCGGGTCAGTTAGACGAGATGTGAACATCACTGTGCCTTTGGCGGCCGCGCGGTCAAAAAGCGCTGCCGTTTGGCGCAGGCGCAGAGCTGCAAACTAGACTTCGCCTTTTGGGGAAATAGGTTTCTGCGCCACCTTCTGAACTCGCTGTCACGGCGCCTAGTCTTTCCTCTCTATAAGTCGCATTTACACATGTCTTATGTATCTGTGGTTTGTCCGTTGTCCCGAGTGCTCTCGAGAGCACTCTATTTGTCCACTGCCTGCCCTAGACAGCTCTCGATTCTCTTCCCATGGTGGTTCGCAGGGTGTAAGCCGCGAAGAACCTGCAATCCAGCATTGCGTCAAACGCTGCAGTGAAAACAGTTGAGTTGCTGAGGCTTCAAGGACTTAACCAAGAATTTTTTTTAATATAAAATGGGGTTCTCCGCCTTCCCCCCCCATTTTAATTAATATACATATGCAGTAGACAAACATTTTCGCAGGAAGCTACCGTTCCCTCCCCAGACCTGCAGTCTTCCTCCCCATGGGCAAAACAATTCCATTTATTACCTACCAGAGCTTTTCTGTGCATAGGCAAACATGGATATTTGTGTGTTTGCCTGTCTCTACTTCCTCTTCTTTATAACACTGATGAATATACTATTTACTTTTTCTGCATCTTGCTGTTACCTTGTCTCCATTCACTGGAATGTGGGCTCCATGAGAGGCAGGGAGTTCAGTTAGTTTTGTTTACAACTGCATCCCCAGTACCTAGAATAGTCCCTGGCACATAATAGGCATTTGACACATATTTTATTGTAAAAAGGGTATTTAACATTCCTTTTCGTGTGTGTGTGTGTGTGTGTGTGTGTGTGTAAATGTGCCATTGTATGAAAGTATTTTAATTGGTTACTAATCGATGGACATTCTTATCTTTTGGTAAATAAGCACCTCTACTGGTACACTTTTTTTCAGGAGAGAGTTTATGTAGAACTGCTGGAGCAGAGAAGATGGATATACATATAGAAAGTTTTAAATTTTGGTAGATAATACTAAATTGCCTTCCAAAAGTTTTTACCAGTTAACACTCAGCATCAATAAATAAGATGCCTGTTTCACCACACCCCTGTAAAAAGTGACCTCTGACAACCTGAGATGAAAATTTATCTTATTATTTCAACTTGAATTTAATTACAAGCGAGGTTAAGAATCTTTCACAACGTTTTCCAACTTTTTTCTGTGAATTGCCTCTTCAGGTCCTATGCAGTTGTCTATTCTGTTGTTGATTTTCAACAGCACTTTACACGTTAAAGTTAGTCCTTTGCTGACATGCATTTAGAAATTATTTCCCTATCAATATTGTAAGCTTTGCTTATAGTATTTTTCCATGCAGAAATATGTGGTTTGTATATTCAGATTTATCCAATTTTTTATGATTTTGGATTTGGCACTTTCCTTTAAACTGCCCTTCTCACTCCAAAATCGTTTTTCAAAATGCTTTCTCTTATGTTTTATAGTATCATTTTTTTGCATCTCAATTTTCAACTCGTCTGGGATTTAAGCATAAATGACATAGGACTCCAGTGTTTATATTTCCCTCAGTGCTATTGGTGGATAAAGCATCCTTCCCCCGCCCCCACTCACTCAAAATGTCACTTACCTATGGCTCCATTTCTGGACTCTGTTACATCGTTTTGTTTGTTAATGTACCTGTCCCCAAATATCTAAATTATTGTAATTTTTTAAATAACTGGGTTTACCTCCTCTCCGTTTGTATTAGTTTTCATGTTGCTGATAAAGACATACCTGAGACTGGGCAATTTATACAGGAAAGAAGTTTAATAGACTCACAGTTCCACATGGCTGGGGAAGCCTCACAATCATGGCAGAAGGCAAGGAGGAGCAAGTCATGTCTTACATGGATGGCAGCAGGCAAAAGGAATGAAAGTCAAATGAAAGTGGAAACCCCTTTAAAACAATCAGATCTCTGGCCGGGCGCAGTGGCTCAAACCTATAATCCCAGCACTGTGGGAGGCCGAGGCGGGTGGATCACGAGGTCAAGAGATCGAGACCATCCTGGTCAACATGGTGAAACCCCATCTCTACTAAAAATACAAAAAACATTAGCTGGGCATGGTGGCGCGTGCCTGTAATCCCAGCTACTCAGGAGGTTGAGGCAGGAGAATTGCCTGAACCCAGGAGGCAGAGGTTGTGGTGAGCCGAGATCGCGCCATTGCACTCCAGCCTGGGTAGCAAGAGTGAAACTCTGTCTCAAAAAAAAAAAAAAAAATCAGATCTCATAAGACTTATGCACTATCACAAGAACAATGTAGGGAAAACTGGCATATGATTTAATTATATCCCAGCAGGTCCCTACCACAACATGTAGGAGTTATGGGAGTTATAATTCAAGATGAGATTTGGGTGGGGACACAGCCAAACCATATCATTCCTCCTTCCTTGTCCTTCTTATTCATTATTTATCTGGCTATTCTTCAACATTTACCTCTTCATTTTAATCTAGAATCAGTTTTTATAGTTATAATCTTCAAATACACACAATTTTCCTTTTATTGGATATTTAATTTTTCTTATCTAGTCATTCAACCAGTAATTCCAGAGTAATGTTAAATAACAAAGGCACATACCAGAAATTTTAGTAATAAACACCTGTCCAAAACTTTATTGTCAACCAAGAGACTGAAAATCATTTTACTTTTCTTTATTCTTCTATCCTCAACAATTGTGGAAGAGCCTCACCAGTCTTTGCAACCTTTACACAATTCCTTCCTAACTCTGTTTGTTCCTTCTACTTCACCAAGAAATGTTATACCCTTTCCACCTACATGAACACCCAAGTTTGCCTGTTAACCTTTGATGTCAGAGGCCACATCCTTTATGTGTTCTTAATTCCATACCTTAAGGCTTCATCTGACACTTTGTTCTCTTCAGCCTATGAGCATACGTGGTGCCTCACTTTAGACTGAGTGGATGTGTAGCCAGTCTTAGAAACTATTCTTTTATTTCCACCTATTTTAATGGAATACAAGATTGAACTGAAATGTTGGAAATACGATTTCATTTATTCTGCTTGGGGCTTATGATTCCTAAAACTGAGAGTATATGTCTTGTATCATTACTGGAAAATTTTCAGCTGTTATCTTTTCATATAGTGCCTCTTCCTTCAGTTTATTTAATTTTCTAGAATTTTTACTAAATATAAGTTAGAGGTTTTTTTCTTCCCTCGATGTCTTTTAACCCCTCCAGGACTTTCTCCTTATCTCTGTCTGCAGAATTATGGGTAATTTCCTCTGACCTGCCTTCTAGAATTTTCTCTTCAACTCTACCAAACCTGTCATTTAACCTCTAACCATTAAGTTTTGAATATCAGTGGCTATATTTTTCATTGTTGAAAGTTTTGTGTTTTTTTTTTTTTAATTCAAACCAGTCTGGTATCTTTAATATTGTCTTCTTTTCTGGATTTTTCAGTTCCTTTAATGTTTGTGATTACTTTAAACATTTTAACTTTATGGACTCTGTCTGAGAAGCATATTATTTGAGGTTTTTAAATGCCAAATCCTGCTGTTTGTTTGGTCTGCTGACCCTTGCTAATGATTGAAGGGTGAAGAAGAAATAGATTGTAATTTTCCATTGTTATGTCATCCGTAGTTGGATGTTTTCTGGTCTATGCAAAAATGTTCCATCTGCAAACATTTTTGCTTTGCTTCTACCAAGTAATCCATAACTAATCTCTTCTTTAAAATGTTAATTTTTGTTAATTTTTTGATTTAACATACCCAGAAAACTTAGGTAGTACACACTGGAATCTCAAACTTGTGTTCAAGCAGACCTGTGGTTATAAATTTTCACAAGACATTAAAAACATAGACCAGGTCCTAGATTTCTGTGTGTTTGGGGACAGAGGGCTTCAGTTTCAGCACCCTATTCTCAACAGACCCAAGGTTTTCTCTACTAACGCTTTGTGGCTATTATAACAAAGCAACCTGATTACTGATACTGGCAAAACCAAACCAAAAGCAAACCACATTCAGCATCAGGTTGTTTTAAGTTCCCTCTGTTGTCTGTTTTTAAGGGGAAGGAGTTGGTCTTAGGGTATGGCCCATATTTTTTTGAGAAATCAGCAGTACATTTTAAAGAATATGTTCATCATATTTTATCCAGCATTATCTAAGTAGTGTATAATGGAAGAACTTATTAGTTAAATACCTACATTGCCAAAGACAGAAGACCTGGGAATACCACCGTAGAGATTTCTAGTTCATAAAAACACCAAGTGAAACGTTTCTTAAATAGATTATTGGCCATCTTACATCAACTTCAAAAGATCAGAATGTATTTCTCAGATTTCATTTTTTTTTTTTTTTTTTTGAGATGGAGTCTTGCTTCATCACCCATGTTGGACTGCAGTGGCATGACCTTGGCTCAGTGCAACCTCTGCCTCCTGGGTTCAAGAGATTCTCCTGCCTCAGCCTCCTGAGTAGCTGAGATTACAGGCATGCTCCATCGCACCCGGCTAATTTTTATTTTTAGTGGAGATGGGGTTTCACTGTGTTGGCCAGGTTGGTCTCGAAATCCTGACCTCAGGTAATCCACCTGCCTCAGCCTCCCAAAGTGCTGGGATTACAGGCATGAGCCACTGTACCTGGCCTAGATTTCTTACTTTCTTATAATGAATTTGTATGTACTTATATGTGAACAATTTTAGACATTTTTAACACTGTTTTTATTTTCAAATTGTATTCTTCTGTCTGAACATTAACAGTAAGCCCTTTTTGAAAACTCTTTCACTTGACCCACTTGCCTCTTTAAGTCCATTACTCAGTCAATCAAAAAAACATTTGCATACCTATTGTGTACCAGGTCCTTTTCTGAGTGGTGGTGACAGTTTTGAAGAAAACTACCTAAATCCCTGTCCTTATTTGTGGAGCTTATATCTTAGTGGATATAGACAAATATATAAATATGTCAAATGAATCACTTGTCAGCCTCTTGGCTAAGAATAAATGTAAATACAGCAAGTGGTGAAATATGAAGAAATATGAGTGATATGAAGAAATGCAAAGCAGAACAACAGGTCATAAAGGAGTGACAATCTGGTTGGGGCCATGAAGGGAAGTGACTGCTCTTTTAAATAAGGTAGTTAGTAAAGTCCTTTGGACAAGATGGCATTTGAATAGTCTTAAAGGATAAGAGAGGTAAACATTCCAGACAGAGGGAACTGCAAAGGCAAGAGCTCTGAGGCAGGAACATGCTTGACTGCTCCAAGGAGGCCAGTGTGCCTGAGAAGAACAAGTGAGGTGGACAATGGTAAGAAATAAGTTCGGGGGGCCGGATGCAGGGGCTCACGCCTGTAATCCCAGCACTATGGGAGGCCAAGGTGGGTGGATCACAAGCTCAGGAGTTCAAGACCAGCCTGGCCGACATCGTGAAACCCCATCTTTACTAAAAATACAAAAAATTAACCAGACATGGTGATGCACACCTATAATCCCAGCTACTTAGGAGGCTAAGGAAAAAGAATTGCTTGAACCCAGGAGGCGAAGGTTGCAGTGAGCTGAGATTGTGCCACTGCACTCCAGCCTAGGGGACGGAGCAAGACTCTGTCTCAGAAAAAAAAGAAAGAAAGAAAGAAAAGAAAAGAAAGAAAGAAGAAGTTCAGAGAAGCCATCTCTCCACGTATTCTCTCCTCAACCAAACCATGACTATACCCTCCCCAGTGTCCCTTGCATTGTCTCTCAGCCCTGCCTGATCTTAGTTCAGGCCTTAACCATCCTTGTTTTGTTTATCTGAGATTGTCTACTACGACACTTCCCAAATAGATGTGCTCAATACATGTCTGATAGCATTTTTAGTTACTTTTCTAGACTATGTTGTCCTGGCTCGCCCCTCAGTGAGCACCTAATGGAACATGTATCCCTGAATTTCATTTTCTATAGCATTACAACCTCTGGTATGAAACTTTATGATGAGAAATAAAACATTCACACACAAATTTGACAGACTAGACCACTTTTTTATTATAGCTTAATTGGCACATGGTTCACTGAAGATACGCTTCACTTGTACATAGGCTTGTAAGTAGAAAAATACATCGATGCACAAAAAATACAGTACTTCAATACCAAACTTAAATGATTTCCAAAAAGAATACAGGTTATTTCAATAATTAAAGCTGGCTCTTGAGTGTGTACTGTATCATGTATACACTTAATTGTATGATATGTTTAAGGCCAATGGAATCTACAGCGAACTACTCATTTGGTTCTTAACAACTAAAACATGCGAACATCCTTATTTTTATGTTTAAAGACATTTAATGTGTTATTCTAACACAAATACACCATACAAAATATGCCCTGATATATAGCTGTAAGATTATGTTGTACTCCACTGAAGTCTTACGGCAACTATAGAAGGCACTACTGTGTAATTATGACCCTGTTCTTGAAATATCTAAATCTTTTCCTCACTAGCATATACAATTCAAATGCACAGGTCTCAGGGACTTCTTTGGAATTTAAAAGAAGCCTTCGTTTCAAGGATAGAAATATGTAAAATTGTACTCACCATGGCTAACTTTGCTATGGAAGTAGTGGAAGGACAGTGGCAAAAAACACAATAGGTTTTTTCATTATACTTGTAATTTTCCTCATTTCAAAATAAAATTAGGGGATACAAGTGCGGTTTAGATACATGAATATATTGTGTAGTGGTCAAGTCTGGGCTTCTTATGTAACCATCACCCAAATATACTTGTATTTTTCTAATTACAGTTCTGCCAAATATTTGCCACCACAAAATACATTTATTTTTATTCTTTATTTAAATTATAATAAGTGATATTTCTTCCTAAATAGCCATTAAGATCTCTGGAAATTTTCATCTACTTTATTCAAACCACTTTAATAAATAAGACTTTTCACCTAAATGAAATACCTTTGAATTTTATAAAGACTTCCATGAAACATATATTAAAACCACCTTTAATTTGGTATGAAGACACTTTGGCAACGTAGCAGAATACATGATCTTGGCAAGACCCAGCAAGTACAGTAAATGCTCATGAGCTCAATGAAAATTATAGGCTACAGAATACTTCATTTTTCTTTTATTGAACTACAGTACAAATATAACTGCTTCAATATGTACATCTATCTTCCACCAAATAGCAAACAGGCATTTTATGTAATTGAAAACTAATTCCTTCAATTCCAACAATGGAAAAGCAAAACAAGTTGCAAATATCAGCAATACAGAGCCTGCTGGTAAAGACAGAGATGAGTAATTTACAAGCTAATTAAGCTGCAGCCACAGAATGCCGGATCAAAATTATAAATATGAAGAAACTAAATATTTACTCATCACAAATAACTCAGCATAAGCACCAGCTATGTTCAGATGTAGCCAGCACATAGGCCAAGTATAAATGTGGAATCACAGTGCATTAAAGCCACAAAATCTAGTTCCCTGAACCTTCAATCAACCCTTCACAGCAACGGGAATATAGCGGGAGCCAGAAGTCCCACTTCAGCTGCTCATATTACATTAAGCCACCCTGTCACACCCCAATCCCTTTTCCACCAACAAAAAAGTCACCATGAGTGTACAACTAGTCGATGCAGTTTATCCAAGATCTATAGATACGGCCATAATTTGTCCTGTTCATGTTAAATAGAATGCCTACATAAAATTAATACTCAAAGACATTGGGCTGATGTGCATGTGTATTCTTATTTAACATGCAACTGGCTTTAATGGCATTTTAGAAGGTCAACTATGGTATGAGTCTTTAAATCTTGATCCAAGACTGTGGCCATTTTATAATTGCATGTAAGATCTTAAATGTAAGACTCTGGCCTACTTACATTAAAGCCGGTGACAGTACCCTCATTCATACACTCTTCTGTGACTGCAAAATTCTAAATCCTTTAATGATTTACTATAACAGGCTAAGGTTTTATAAGGCACTTTTGGCTCTGAAATATTTCTCCTAACTCTCAGGCTGAATCTTAAAGAAATATTTACAAAGCTGCAACAAATTAATTCTAAAACCAGACGCTTTACTGGTAGGTCTAATGGGGATGGCAAGAAGCAGTTTGTACACAATGCCCATTAATCTCTCTCTGTGCCATCTATCAATCATAGAGAAGGATCCCAGGCATGGGCCACCTGAACTGCTATGCCACTTACTCGACTTCTCAACAGCCACATCCCCCTTTTTCCTTTTCTTCACTTAACTGATCCGCAGAGGCATGACCATTTGATCGCACCACTCCTTCAGGAATCCAGGACTTGTCCACACACCGTTCCATCCGCTTCATTATCAGGTCCAGAAGCATCTCAATCGCTTGGCTTATGTTTGTCCCATTGGCAGCACTAGTTTCAAAGTAGGGGATTCTGGAAGACAGAGGCAACGAAGGTAACAACATGTGAAGGGAAAGGACAGTGACCTTTGCTCTTGATAATTCAAATTAGAGGATATAATACAAATCCACAACATGATAAACATTTTACCACCCCAGAGTACATTAAAAAGTGAAAAAGACAATAAAATAAAATACACTGCATTCCTGGTAGATAGGCAAAACTGGAAATTTTAGACCCTTCAAAATATCAATTTTCAGAAGGCTCATGCCTCCCAGTACTCTGGTAGGCTGAGGTGGGCAGATCACCTGAGGTCAGGAGTTTGAGGCCAGCCTGGCCAACATGGGGAAACTCCATCTCCACAAAAAATACAAAAATTAGCCAGGAGTGGTGGCATATATCTGTAATCCCTGCTACTCGGGAGGCTGAGGCTCAAGAATCACTTGAACCCAGGAGGCGAAAGTTGCAGGGAGCCAAGACTGCACCCCAGCCTCGGCAACAGAGTGAGACTGTCTCAAAAACAAAAATCAATTTTCATTTTTTTAAAGGATTATATCTATGCAACATATATTTTAGTAATATATATTGATTTACCATAAAAAGATTTTTTAAAGATATAAAAAGGTTTAATTTAGAGAACTAAATCTCTTTTCATTTAGGTTTTGGAGGGTTTTTTGTTTGTTTTGAGACAGTCTCTGTCACCCAGGCTGGAGTGCAATGGTATGATCTCAGCTCCCAGGTGACCTCCCAGGCATCTAACCTGCCACCTCAGATTCCTGAGTAGCTGAGACCACAGGTGCACATCACCACACCCAGCTAATTACTGTATTTTTTTTGTAGAGATGGGGTTTTACCTTGTTTCCAAGGCTGGTTTCAAACCCCTGAGCTCAAGCTACATGCCTGCCTTGGCCTCCAAAGTGCTAGAAATTCAGGTGTGAGCCACTGCATCTGGCCTAGTTTTAAGAACTTAAAATTTGATGTTGGAAACTGGCTAGCCATGTGCAGAAAGCAGAAACTGGACCCCTTCCTGACACCTTACACTAAAATTAACTCCAGATGGATTAAAAACTTAAACATAAGATCTAACACCATAAAAACCCTAGAAGAAAACCTAGGCAAAACCATTTAGGACATAGGCATAGGCAAGGGCTGCATGACGAAAACACCAAAACCATCGGCAACAAAAGCCAAAATAGACAAGTGAGATCTAATCAAACTCCAGAGCTTCTGTACAGCAAAAGAAGCTATCATTAGAGTGAACAAGCAACCAACAGAATGGGTACAAATTTTTGCAATCTACCCATCTGACAAAGGGCTAATATATAGAATCTACAAAGAACTAAAACAGATTCACAAGAAAAAAAACAAACTCATTCAAAACTGGGTAAAAAGGACATGAACAGACACTTTTCAAAAGAAGACAGATATGAGGCCAACAAACATAAGAAAAAATGCTCATCATCACTGGTCATTAGAGAAATAAAAATCAAAACCACATTGAGATCCCATCTCAAGCCAGTTAGAATGGCAATCATCAAAAAATCTGGAGACAACAGATGCTGGAGAGGATGTGGAGAAATAGGAATACTTTTACACTGTTGGTGGGAGTGTAAATTAGTTCAACCATTGTGGAAGACAGTGTGGCGATTCCTCAAGGACCTAGAAACAGAAATTCCATTTGACCCAGCAATCCCATTACTGGGTATATATCCAAAGGATTATAAATGGTTCTATTATAAAGACACATGCACACGCATATTCATCGCGGCACTGTTTATAATAGCAAAGATCTGGAACCAACCCAAATGCCCATCGATGATAGACTGGACAAAGAAAATGTGGCACATATACACCATGGAATACTATGCAGCCATAAAAAATGATGAGTTTGTGTCCTTTGTAGGGACATGGATGAATCTGGAAACCATCATTCTCAGCAAACTGACACAAGAACAGAAAATCCAATACCGTATGTTCTCACTCATAGGCAAGTGTTGAATAATAAGAACACATGGACACAGGGAAGGGAGCATCACACACTGGGGTCTTTTGGTGGGGTTAGGGGAGGGACAGTGGGGGTGGGCAGGTTGGGGAGGGATAACATGGGGAGAAATGTCAGCTGTGGGTGACAGGGGGATGGAGGCAGCAAACCACCTTGCCATGTATGTACCTATGCAATAATTCTGTGTGATCTGCACATGTACCCCAGAACCTAAAGTACAATTAAAAAAAAAAAATTGATGTTGGTATCAAAGCTGTTTAAATTCCTCTACGTAAAAACTAAAACTTGAAAACTTTTAGAAGAAAATGTAAGATACTATATTTTTGACATTGGGATGAAAAAGGACTTCCTAATATAGCTACAAAGCTTAAACCACAGAGAATAAGTTTGATAATCTTGACAATATTAAAATTTAAAACTTTGGTGCCACAGCATATATCATAAGCAAAGTTAAAGATGAGATACAGGCCAAAATACATGGTGTTTGATGTAAGTTGCAAATAGGTTAGCATCCAAAAAAAAATTCCTCAAATCAATTAAAGTAATAAACAAGATAATACGAAAATAGAATAAGGATATGCACAGAAAATTCTCAGAAAGAAACTACATTTATGAAAAAATGTTCAACCTCACCCAAAATAAGGGAAATGCAAATTTAAAAAATGGTGTATTAACTCACACCCATCAGATTGGCAAAAATATTAAAATCTCCCAATATCAATTATTGCCACAGAGAAGAAAAGAGGAACTTGTGTTTACTGCTTATGTAAGTATAAACTGTTATAACTACTTGGGAAAATAAAATAGTAATATCTGGGTGTAAAACTGAAACATGCATGCGCTATGAGCCAGCAACAGCACTTCTGGGTATACATCTAAAGCAGAGCCAAGGCATGTTGATAGGCAGGAAGTGAGTTATAGGGATACCTGAGATATCACCACTCCTTCAGTCCTTAGGACAACTGAGAACATCTTAGGACAGCCAGAGTCCCTGAACCAGTCTCCTCTAACCTTGAGCAGCCTTATCTATTTATCCCAGTGAGCTGTACAAATATTATCATTTTCTGCAGGTGGCATGCTATGAAAAATATTGAGAAGCCCTGTCTTGGTGCAGCACTATCCAACAGAACTTCCCATGATGACAGGAACTTTCCATATCTATGCCATTCAGTATAAGAACTACTAGCCACATGTAGCTATTGAGCCCTTGAACTATGGCTAATGCAACCAAAAACCTGACTTTTTTTTTTTTTTTTTTTTTTGAGACAGGGTCTCATTCTGTCACCCAGGCTGGAGTGCAGTGGTGCAATCTCAGCCCAAAGCAAACTCTGTGTCCCAGGTGCTAGTGATTCTCGTGCCTAAGCCTCCCCAGTAGCTGGGACTACAGGCATGTGCCACCACTCCCAGCTAATTTTACTATGTTGGCCAGCCTGGTCACAAACTCCTGACCTGAAGTGATCTGTCTGCCTCACCTCTCAAAGTGCTGGGATAACAGGCATAAGCCAACACACCCAGCCAAAAAACTGAACTTTTAATTTTAACTTAAATAGTTACATTTGACTGGTGGCTATCATACTGGATAGTACAGCCCTAGAAAAGCTCTCATATATGTACACATGGCATCATCTAATGGAATAGATATTGCAGTACTATTTGTAATAGGGAAAAAGTTAACCTAAATGTCCATCAGTGAGAACATGCATAAATAGTGATATTTTTATGCAGTAAATTATACAAGGTTTAAGCTGTATAGATATGGCAAAAATTAAATGATGAATTTCAAAAACAACTTGTATGATACAAGATCATTTATATAAAGAACACCAAATAATCACACATCGTTATAAAAAAGATATCTATGTAGTAAAAATATAACTTCTTGGACTAGAAATATATAATTTTTACTGTTTTAGCTCAAAGTAACAGAAAATTATGACTCAAACTGGCATGAATCACAAGTAGGAATTTATTGTCATGCATAATGAGCACAGAACTACAGTTTCCAGTGTTAATTTGATTGCCAAACAGTAGAAACAAAGAACCTAGATTCATCCCGTCTTTCTGTTCTGCCAGCCTCCACATGTCAGCTTTGTCCAGTCTGACTCTTGTCATGACCCCAGAAGCTAAAACATTCCAGGCATCACATCTCAACACGCCAACGTTCCAAGAAAAAAAGGACTCTTTCTTCCTCACTGTGCCTCCCTCAGGAGAGAGGAAATCTTGCCCAGAAGTCCCTGGCAGACTTTCCCTCATGTCTCATTGGTCAAAACTGTATCACTTGCCAATGCCTAAACCAAACTCTGGCAAGAGGAATGGTACACCACCATCACTGGCTTAAAGCAATCAGTCTGCCTTAGCTGGAGTCTGGCACCTGCCTCTCTTAAGTAGCATGTCCTCTAGACGCATGAATAAATAGCTAAAAGAAATTGGAATTCTATAAAGAAAGGCATGGATAATTGTCTAGGCAACCAGTAACATCTGCTATAGGAAGTAGACATAGTGTGGTTCCCTCTGAGGAAGTAGGAAGGATAACGGAATCAGCAAGGAATTTTAAAAGGGGCTTCAATTGTATCTGTAAGAAATTTTATTTTTTTATTTATACATAATAGTTTCACAGTAAATATGATCATTTAATACATTGATATAATTTGTAAAGATTAGTGTACTTGCGATAGCCATAATATTAAATATTTGTCTCCTCTTTATACTAGAACCATTATAATTCTTCTCTCCTAGCTATTTCAAAATATACAATAGATTGTTGTAAACTATAGTCACCCTGCTGATCCATCTAACACTATGTCTTATTTATTCTATGGAACCTCACATTTGTACCTATTAATCAACCTCTCTTCATCTCCCACTCCCTCCTACCCTTTCTGGCCTCTGTATTCACCAATCCACTCCCTATCTTCATGAGATCCATCTTTGTAGCTCCCACAGATAAGTAAAAACGTGCAACATTTGTCTTTCTGTGTCTGGCTTATTTCACTTAACATAACGATCTCCAGTTCCATCCAAGCTGCTGCAA